AATGTGTGTTACTGTTGACCACTTTCTTAAAGGCATTGTTGGTTCAAAGCTTTCGGTCATAGAAGCCGTGCCATTTTTCTCTTGTCAGAGGAGTACACAAAGTATACGTCATCTGGACTAACATTTTTGGTTCGGTGGCTGGGTAAGATCGCCAACTTTGTGTTCTGGCGATTGGGTGCCTCACTCACAGTGTGGGTTCAAATCCCGGGCGGGGCTCAACCCAAGAAAGTACGAGAATCTGTATTTTACTCAGAAAGTGTTATCCCAATTATAACATTTGTTGTCAAGAAAACACAATAAATGTATATTCGGCTTTGGATTGGTAATGATATCACAGACATATACGGATATTGATGATGACTTGGAGGAGCTTCGTAACGCACGTCTTCTCAATTCAGGGATTGGTAAATCCAAATATGTGTGTGCGCGTGCGTGCGTGCGTGCGTGCGTGCGTGCGTGCGTAAATGTGGGCATGTTGGATGTTACATAAAACATTCATCTTGAGCGGGATGGTAGTTCGAGTTGGATTAGCATGTTAACTATATGATCTACTTTAGGCAGAGAATGCCGCGCATGAATGTATTGATGAAATTCCTAGGTACATGGGGCCTTTTCGTCCCCAGGAATACCCACAGTGGAGACTTCAATGGGGATAGGGTGTACAGAATGTGCTACCTGGTAGATTGTGTGTCATCAGACCGGACAACGTTGGTTTTTGACTGATTGTGGCGTAAAACACACTTATGCATTTACTTATATCGGAAATTGAATGTTCATCTTAATTGTTATTGTTGAACATGTAATATATTTTTAAAGAAATAAAACAGTGACATAATAACTACAACTTCATGTGAGCGCGAGTAGTTTTTTTGGAATGAGATGAATAAGTCTTATAAAGTTGTAAGCTTCTTCACAACCGTGTAACTATGAATTGACTTTATTGGGTAATCAAAAAAGAGATAGGACCTAAAATAGCCAAATTTCATACGATTTCATTTGTCCACAATCTTGGATGCAAGGCGAAAACATTTCAGCGCGGTTGAAGCCACTGAGAATGCCCCCTGCAGAGTTGGACGAACTTTCTGCGGTGGCGCGGCTGAGTTGACCAGAGGCTATCAGTATTTCCTGTCCAGGTTATTTAGGTCAGTTGTTTGTGTGTGTGTGTGTGTGTGTGTGTGTGCGTGCGTGCGTGCGTGCGTGCGTGCGTGTGTGCGTGTTTGCGTGCGTGCGTGCGTCTGGGGGGTGGGGGTGGGGGCGGGTGAGATTAGGGGGATAGATGATAGATTTAGCAACAAGTAAGGTCATCTTGAGTGGGAGGGTATTCGCAGATGGATTAGCATATGAACTATGATTCTCTTTAGGCAGAAAATGAGGATCCATGATGTTCGACCTGGTAGAAGTGTGTTATCAAACCTCACAGCATTGGTTTTTTGACTGACTGTAGCGTCAAAACAAACTCATTCATTTACTTGAACTGAATGTTCATCTTAATTGTTATGGATAGTCACGGAGCCATGATCCAGAGAACAGGGTGTCATTAGATAGAATTAAACTAAGTAATAATAGGATTACCAGAAAAACGGGGTTTTACACACAAGCCAATAAACTTCGCTCATTAACACCAGAGTAAGTCAGTACAAGATTGAAAACTGCCCCATAATTATGTATGACATGCTTGTCGGGTATTGCTACATATATATGTGAAAACAAAGTTATCAAAATGAAGAGCAAAACTGATGAAAGTTAACAATAAACGTATATACGTGTTATATCGTCACTGCAAAAATAATGATTGTTTGTCTTTAGTATTAACATTCAAATACGTTATACAGTCAAGTCTCGTTAATCCGACACTCGTTAAATTACAAGGTACACACGGTTATTATCTATCGTGAAGACGTCCGATTTTCGATCACAAATCACTTAATTTCGTTAATCCGACATACTCGTTAATCCGACACAATCATGTGCAACCAACGATGTCGGATTAACGAGACTTGACTGTATCTGTATTAGCGATATTGTCTTTGTTCCACCGGTGAGTCAGCGTTAGCCGTACTATCTCGTAGTATAATTGAATTTCTGAAGACATCACGATACACGTTTTACGATGCATCACGTCTGCACTAGCGCTTGATAACAGCCTTGTGTTTGGGTGTTTCAGTGGTTTAAATCGCTGCTCTTGATATTGTTGATTAAACTTTGATACTATGAACAATATAATGTTATGTGAGAGGTTGACTTTAGAACGGTAACATACTAATAGTATATAGGATGACATAAACAGAACAATGAGAAGTTCGTCCAGATTAGTGTATAGGCAACATTTAATAATTAAAATAATTACATTCAACAACTCCCCTTTTAAGTCCATTTTCCTGACTTATAAGTAAATGCAAGAACAATCGGCCGGAATACAATGTATAGTTCTGGTCCACTTCCATATGACTATACAGCATACAATAAGCTATAGGGTCCCGTTTAGATCGGTTTGGGTGGCAGCCTAGATGGCCATAGAATAGTTTCATCTTGGAATCTCCCATATCACTGGGAATCCTCTTCAATTTAAATGGAGTTACTCGTTACGATTCCGAACCTTCACGTGACTGTGTTTATGAACCTTTGTCAAAAAGTGGTGACATTAAATCTAGGAAACAATACGCGAAATCGCGCATGCACAGAACGGAAAATTTGGTCAAGGCATTAAGTAATCCGCATGCGCAGAACGATTGATTTCAGTACTTCCGCTAAGCGCTTCGAGTGCAGCGTCAAACGCGGGCCTGTAATCTAACACGCGGGGACTGACCAATGAAATCTGAGAAGTAGAAATACCGGTACACGCTGTTGCTTGATTGACAATGTCAATCAAGAAAGGGAGGAGCTTAACGCTATCGTTCTCTCCCAGTACATTCCGATGTCAAATAACGACGTTATTTGGACGGAAAAACGATGGTTTGAAAACGTCCAAATAACGTCGTTTTTCCGTCCAATGACCATATACGGAAAAAAACGACGTTTTCGTGTTTGCAGTGTTAGACGACTGGGCCACCCGTGCCCCCCCGTTACCTGTATGAGGCCCTACAAGGGTGGCTGAATGTAACCAGCATCACAGTTGCTGCACTATGAACAAGTACAGGAATCCATTGGGCCCCTGCACATGTTACATAACTATAGCTGTCATGCTCTAGCAAGGCATGGGTCAATGTATACCTGTTACAAACCATTGAAATTTTAACAAAGTGAATGATTTATGCGGAACCACTTTAGAAAATGATATTGTTTCATATTCTAAAATGAATTGTATTTTTTGAAACTCCAAAATCTATATTCGTATGTTTCAATCCAGGCATATGGTTCAATCGTCGGGTCTCAAGAAATAATGTGTTTGTTCAATATGAGTCGGGCTAACACATATCTAATCATTATTATGATTTTTTTTTGTCTGATGGTTTTACATATTGCACGTCCTTGTCCCGGCTCGATTATAGCTGGAATAATTTTGAGTGCACTTCTTCGTATTGATTCTCCTTAATGAGATACATGTACACTTTATCGAATCAATGTAATCGAACACACACAAAAGCGTGAGCCAAATTTTTAAATCAGCATTAAATACTGTTTTTATGTAATGTTAGCAAACAATTGATATATTTGAAGGCACATTACTATCGATATACATAACTTAAGGGTTATTTGTTTCGTCGATTGCATCACTGACATAATTGTATTGTAAAGAATATTGCTTTTGAATGTCAACAGCTTTTGGAATCTGACACGTTCTGGCTATGGGACATTTCATAGTTTGAATCAATATATTTGGAAGACCTCGGGCTTCTGCAAATGATAATGCCCTGAAAAATAGCGTTACCCTTATATTATAGCTAAAATGGATAGAATTATCATAAAAACGCCCGCATGTTATCAGAAATGAGCGGGCCACTGTAACTCGATAATGCCCTCATATTGCTTGACGACGGGCCATTATCACGCCCGTTGTTAGGTGACGTCATAGGGAGTGCACCTTTTCATATGCCGAACGCTGACAAAGGAAGATGGCGTCCGATTGTATCGATACGGCCGAGACCCTTCGTGAGATTGAACGAGCGCTTCACGAACCTAAAGACTCGATTTGGGTTGAACAGGTTGAAGTTAGCGATATATTTGAAAACAACAGTGATTTAGATGAAGAAGAACTGGATAAGATTCAGATGGAGGGGAAATCAGAAAATACAACAAAGCAGACTGCGTGGGGAGTCAAGGCCTTTACCGGTAAATTTGTGCCCTGTTATATACTTATTTATCCGATATAATAAAACATTGATGATTTTCAAATATATTATTGATTCCGTTAACATTACTAGATCTGTTCTTTGAAATATTTGTCAAAATTTTCTTCTCAAAGTAAGCTTAATAGTTTACTTGTCATTCTTTTCTTTCATTCTAGACTGTAGTGGTTTGTAACAATAAGTGAAGAAAGGTACTTCGTGTTAAAAAGCCCTTTTATTCAGACCATGTGGTCAGCATGGTGGCCATCTTGTTACAACTCAAGGGGGAGCACTCTCGTTGGCTTAGCTGCTAGATACTGCTTGGGTATGACTAATTAATATAGATTAATGGACTTCTGTTGACATTAACACTTATCATTACATCTCCCTTTCTAAGTTGAAATTAACATTATATAAACTCTGAATTAAACTGGTAACAATGTAAACACTTTAAAGCCTGGCTAAGCACATCAACAATAGATAAGTTTAATTTCTTTTCTTTTCTTTTTTCTTTTTCAATGAGTGCTTAAAATGACACATCATGTCAAATTGATCATGTTCAGTTCCTTCCTGATGAGTGTCTCTTCTTGTCATTAAGTTTGCACATTTATGATAGCTTGCCATTCTCTTAACTTTAGAACTTAAACTAAACTCAATTAAAGTCTCTGACAAAAACCTAGTCTACTGAAAATCAACTTCCGAAACATGAAACTTTAACAGTTCAGAATTCACACATCACTTGGTTTCGATCAGGCGAGATGGCTTGTTGATGACTCGGCCAGATCGTGTTGTAGTACCACTCTGCTGTGCTTCGGGAGTTGTCAAGCAAGTTGTAGTTGTTGTTGTTGCAGGCTGGTTATTTGTAATGCGAGGTGTGTTGTCATGAGGAGTAAGGAGGAGATCACGGCGATTTCGTCTCAGTCTTCCACCTCCCTCTGTTTGCACAAGGTAGGATCTTGGTGCTACCTTTTGCACTATTTTACCTTTTGTTTTCCAGTCATTACTTGTGTCTCGATACACTCTCACACTGCTACCTGGTTCTAACTGGGGTAGAGGTAGAGGAGATGCTTTCTGGTCGAAGTAGTACTTTTGTTCCTCTTTCGAAACCAGCTTGTGTTTGATGACTTGATCTGGATCAGGTGTACTTGACTGAAGGAGATCTTTCTTCAGTGGGAGATTGACCTGATTGTCCAATTCATTAACAGCTGTGACGGAGAGAAACTACCAGCTAGAGGTGTGGTACGATAGGCGAGCAGTCCTAGATGAGGATCTTCCCCACTGTCAATGCACTTTTTCATGATGTTTTTGACAGTCTGGACTGTGCGTTCTGCAAGACCGTTTGACTGGGGGTATTTAGGACTAGATGTAGAGTGTTTAAAGTCCCATTCAACAGCAAAATCTGCAAATTCTGCACTCGCATAACATGGTCCGTTATCACTGAACAGTTCAACTGGTGAACCATGTCTGGCAAATATGGATCGTAGTGCTTTGATGACAGCTTGCCTGGACTGATTTGGCAAAGCAATGACTTCTGGGAAGTTAGAGTATGCGATAGTCTTTTGAGTAGAGTTCAAAAAGATCAGTGGAGACATACTGCCATGGCTGAGTAGCTACTGGGTGAGGTGATAGTGGTTCAGGTTGATGACGATGACGATAGTTCAAGCACGTCTCACATCCACTTACCATGACATCTACGTCATGATTCATTCGAGGCCAGAATAGAACTTCTCTAGCTCTCTGCTTGCATTTTTCTTGACCCAGATGTCCTGCATGTATTTTCTGCAACATCAGTTTCCGCATACCTTTGGGCACGACGATGCGGTTGCCTTTGAAGACTACTCCGTCAATACATGAAAGTTCATCTCGATAATTCCAGAAATCATCCAGGTTTCTTGGGCACTGTGAATGTTCATTAGGCCAACCTGTCAAGATGATTGCTTTTAGAGCTGTCATTTCTGGATCTATGATGCTTTCTGCTCTGATCTGTGCGAATCTGTCGGTTGACACCTGCACTGTTGACAAGATACTGTCAACATACATTTGTACATCTGCTTCAGTTGTACTTGTGGGTGACTGATCACTAGGAAAGTTCCTTGACAGGGTATCTGCTGCATACATCTCTCGACCAGGAGTGTACATTACCTCCATGTCATATTTCTGCATGCGAAGACGGAAACGTTGAATGCGTGGAGGACAGTCATTCAGAGCTTTCTTGAAGATGGGAATCAGTGGTTTATGGTCAGTTTCTGCAAGAAACTTTCTCCCATACACATATTGATGGAACCGTTCAGCTCCAAAACACATTGCTAGTGCTTCCTTCTCGATCTGTGCGTAGTGAGTCTCTGCAGTGGTCATCGCCCTTGACGCATATGCTACTGGCATCCATGCATCTTCATGTTGTTGCAGCAGTATGGCACCAAGTCCATGTTTTGATGCATCTGTAGACACTTTGATGGGTTTCTTGGTATCATAGAATTGAAGAACCGGTCTTTGTGAGATGAGGTTTCGAAGTTCTTCCCATGATTTGTCCTGTTCATGAGACCAAGACCAATGACTGTCTTTTTCCAACAGCTGCCTAAGTGGTGCTGATTTTGTTGAGAGGTCTTGAATGTACCTTCCAAGGTAATTAACCATCCCAAGGAACCGTTGCAGTTCCTTCTTTTCTGTGGGTTTCTGAAGATCCATGATGGCTTTCACCTTGTTAGGGTCTGGTTTGAGTCCATCAACAGAAATTCTATCTCCCAGGAAGGTAAGCTCTGTGATACCCACTTCACATTTCTCTCTATTCAATTTCAGACCACTGTCTCTACACTGCTGAAGTACTGCTTTCAGTCGCTCGTTGTGCTCTCTGGTGTCTTTACCAAAGATGATCATGTCATCCATACTGGTGTCTACACCTCTAATGTGCTCGAAGAGTTGATGTATGGTTCGATGATACACTTCTGGCGCACTTGAAATACCAAATGGGAGTCTGAGATAACAGTATCTCCCAAATGGTGTGTTGAATGCTGTCAGCATTGAGCTGGCATGATCTAGCTTCATTTGCCAAAAGCCTGAGGAGGCGTCAAGCTTGCTAAACACTTTAGCACCAGCAAACTGCGACATCACTTCTTCACGAGTTGGGAGTTTATAGTGTTCTATCTGAACTGCTAGATTCAAATTGCGAGGATCTAGGCATATTCTCAATTTCCCTTGTTTCTTGTGCACAATCACCATCGAACTAACCCATTCAGTAGGTTCTGTAACCTCTGTGATCACTCCAAGTGATTTCATTCTGTTCAACTCTTCTTTAAGTTGATCATGGAGAGCAAATGGCACTTTTCTACAAGCTTCTATGACTGGTGTGACTCCTTTGTCCACTTTTATGGTATGTTCACCAGGCAAGCATCCAAGCCCTGTGAATACATCTTGATATTCACTTAGAATATCTTCTGGCTTTGTAGAATTCTGGCTGTTCAAATTTTTCTCATCAACATTGATTTCGTAAACTCTACGAACCAAGTTCAGTCTCTCACAATCCTCCACACCAAGGATACATCTATTGTTGTCTGGCGTTACCATGAATACAGTCTTGTATGGTTTACCTTTGTAGGTGACTGTGAGCTCTGCCTGTCCTTCAACAGGTATGTCAATTCCACCATAAGCTTTTAGGCTCATCTTAGGAGGTTCTGATGGTGGCTGGTATTTTAGTTTATTCCACTGTGACAAGCTGATGAGGTTCATGTCTGAGCCGCTGTCAAGTTTGAGGGGTACCTGTGTTCCATTTATGTTAAGTGACATCATCCAAGCCTTTGAGTTAGAGACCCTCTGACTGTCTGTATCCACAACATCAACGAAGAATTCTGCATCTTCTGGTGGATAATCACATGCTTCTGCATCAATATCATAGACACGTCGGGATCGACCTGAATGAGATCTACATTGTGTAGCAAAATGTCCGAGAAGACCACATTTCAAACACTTTTGACCAGATGCTGGACATTTCTGTTTTGGGGTATGATTTCTTCCACACCGTCCACAAAGCTCTTGTTTTACTGTTTCTTGTTTACTTGTTTGCTTGTAGTTCATTTTCTGTTTTGGTTTTGACTTTGGTTTGGATTTTATGTAATGAATTGCACAATCTTCACTTACTTCTTTAGCTTGACAACTTGCCATTTCTGCAGCACGACATGTGTCTATTGCTTTTGAAAGAGTTAATCTATCATCACGCAGTAATTTCTCTCGATAAGCACTGTTGTACACGCCACACACTATTCTGTCTCTAACCAAACTGTCTTTAAGTTGTCCAAATTCACAAGATTTAGCTTTTTGTTGCAATTCACTAACATACTGATCTATTGTCTGGTCTGACTTTTGTGAACATGTAAAAAAAATTGTATCTCTCAAATGTCACATTTTTTCTGGGAACACAGTACTGCTCAAATTTTTCTAAGATTTTTTCAACTTTCTGTTTATCTTCCTCTTCAGCCCATTCAAAAGAATTAAATACTTCTCTGGCATTTTCTCCAATGCAATGCAGCAATAAAGATGACTTGTAGACATCAGGTTTGTTTTTACCATCAACAGTAATGGTGTAGTAGCATTCCCATGCTTGCTTGAAACGGCGCCAGTTTTCACTCACATTTCCAGCAAGTTCCAAAGGTTTGGGAGGCTCCAAGTTATTCATTATTGTTGTCAGTAACTTCTTTGATGGGTAGACTTACTTCTGACACCATGTAGTGGTTTGTAACAATAAGTGAAGAAAGGTACTTCGTGTTAAAAAGCCCTTTTATTCAGACCATGTGGTCAGCATGGTGGCCATCTTGTTACAACTCAAGGGGGAGCACTCTCGTTGGCTTAGCTGCTAGATACTGCTTGGGTATGACTAATTAATATAGATTAATGGACTTCTGTTGACATTAACACTTATCATTACATAGACTGGGCTAATCGGCGAAAAATCATGGTAGATTTTCAAAAAATCAATCCAACTGAAATGACCAAAATTCTCCGAAAGTTTTATGCCGAATATCGGACAAAGAAAGTAGAACTGCCAACTCCCAGCACCCTGAGATCACTTAGAGCTGCAGTTCACAGAACATTGAGAGACCCTCCCAATTCTCGCGATATCAATATCATGGCCGACAAGGAATTTATTTGTGCAAACAGCATGTTTGACTCTCGCTGTAAAGCGTATTTTGCGAGGGGGGGGGGAAGAGAGAGAAAGAGAGATCCCTTCACCATAAACCCTGCATTGAGTAAGGAGATATGGATAAAATATCTGATTACTTTGGACATCTAGAAAACACCGACCCGACAAGGCTTGTTGAAATGGTTTGGTTCAACCTATGCTTCCATTTAGGGAGGAGGGGACGCGAAGGATGGAGAGGTTTTACTAAAACTACACTTCAACTAAAATGTGATGATAACAATCAGCACTATGTTACCTTTGCATCGGCTGAGAAGACCAAAAACTGGCACGGGGGTAGCAATTCCGATCAAGATTGCTCGGATGTCCGGATCTATGAGAATGAGTCAGCAACAAATTGGTGAGAGTCTATCTCTTCTACCTGTCAAAACTACATCAGGATTGTGATGCACTATTCCAAAGTCCACGCAAGTGCTTCCAGAAATCCGGGATTTGGTACAATAATGCTCCTTTAGGTAAAAATACCCCTAGCACTATAATGCAGAAAATATCGAGAAAGGCGGGTTTGTCCCAGGTGTACACTTGTCACTCTGTCCGGGCATCCACAATCACATACCTCTACCATGCCGGTGTTGACACCAAGCAGATATGCAACATCACAAAACAATCGCTTCAAGGAGGAATCCTTGAAACACTACATCTCTGGATCTAGCAGTGCGCAGAAGCGAGCCTCAAGTGAAGTACTACATGATGTTCTTGTACCAAAGATCCCTGCGGCTGATGTAAATATTCACTCCCGTGAATCTGTAGCTGAATGCCATGTCTCATATCATCAACAACAGGTCGGCATGTCCTACGGATCGTTTGAACTTGGGTTAACTATGGGCGACATTTCTGACTCATTTCCCTCAAATGTACCTGTTTCCCGTTTAGGGGGCTGTATGAACTTTCTTGCCAGTGCCAATCTTAAAAATTGTACCATAAATTTCAATATGCAGCAGTGAAAACATCAACCGATTACTAACGTTCTCGAGCTAAAAATGGCGGCTAGTATTGACAACAAAGGCCAAGGTCGAATGTCGTCACGTTCAATAGTGACGTCATCTAGTTTGTTCTATGACGTTTCCTTATTTGTAAAAGTGGGTCAGTGACATTTGTTGTGTGTTGATTGCAGTAAATGTTTCAAAACCGATGTTGCTGTTTATTTTTATTTGATAACAAATTCTATCCATTTTAGCTATAATAACGGTAACGCTATTTTTCAGGGCATTATCATTTGCAGAAGCCCTCGGTCTTTTCAACTGCCCCCCTTCGTCGGGCAGTTAATGGAAGACCTCGGGCTTCTGCAAATGATAATGCCCTGAAAAATAACGTTACCCTTATAACATTCGAGATTTTAAGATCTTTCTGAAATAAAATTGAAAACCTTCCAGCACATTTAACGTTTTCTTCGAGGTGATAATCTATCGAAACAGCGAGTCCATTAAGCGAGCAAGACCAATAAGGACATCTTTTTAATTCTGTTTGTATTTTACCGTGTGAGTGGCACGAGCTACTTAAAGAGTAACGTGCGGAAGACCATAATGGATGTCAATATTTCGTCGGCAGGATAGTATCGATAGTTTACACAATGGAGTTCAATACATTGCGTTTTTCAGAGTGTCCCTCCGAAAAGTTATAGTACTAATCGATTCCGAAAACGCTGACTTGAATACGGCATTGTTTACATTCAAAAGAGACAAGGGTACAAACTGTAACACCTTTTAACTTGTTTGGTGCATCCAATAAAGTTATGTTGTCTAAGTGGCGAAGGTAATGGAACAATCAATCAGGTGAATCGTCGAACGTTGCGAATAAAACCGTTTAAATAATCATCAACACTGCAAGGTAACAACATATTGTGAGAGAAGATTTCTATATATTTCTATATATTTTGATGCTTTTTATGTAACTGGTTAAAAGAATGAATGCCCTGTGATTAAATATGTTGGAGCGTGCATGCAAATAACATGCCCTATTGGTTGTTTGGAATTGAAAGGTATAGTTCATTTCCACGGATGATATAACTTCTCTTAAACTATAGTTGGTCCCGAAACTGTAAACGCTAGTGGAATGTGTCTGATGGAGCTTTGACAACCCTTGACATTCATTATTGCAATAACGGTAGAGAAAAATAAAACTTGTTTGATTGGAAATAATTTAATCTACAGCTGACAATCAAGTGTTTTTCAATTTTGTCAACAACCTGCTTATCTTATTTTACTGACCTGTCACTGCGAAGAATTGACTTAAGTTGTGGATCTACCTCTATAACATCATGTAATGCCACAACAAAAGGTTTCACTATCACACAATTCCTTATATGTAAAGCTCAAAACTCATTACCACTGCATTTACAAACTTTTTATCGACTACAAGTGAGTATGGTTTTACGCCGCTTTTGGTATTATTCCAGCAATGTCACGGCGGGGCACACCAGGAATGGGCTTCACACATTGTACCCATGTGTGGAATCGAACCCGGGGCTTGGGCGTGACGAGCGACACTTTAACCACTAGGCTACTCCACAACCCCATATTGACTACAAAAGGGAAAGGTGCAGTTACCGATAAATAATTCTTTAAAACAGAAATCACAGCTAGATCGACACTGCTTACGAAATAAAAAAGCAGAGCTTGTTTATCAACGTACGCCAGGACAGTAATCAGATCTAGACTATCTTATACAACTTGGCTTGATGTATGTCTTGGTAGGCCCTGTACTGAAGTAGCTCTCTGGTATTTCATACTCTCTACCAGTAAGTTGCCCCCATACATTGCATCCACATGAGGAAGAACGCAAGATAACTCTGCGATATTCGGTTCAACCCAACGAATACAAACCAGATTCACCATGTATATAAAGATGGCTCCGGCAACTTTTTATTGGTTGATATAACTTCGGAACTATTTATGGCCCAAACACCGACACACCGGATTTCTATAAGATGATATTGACAAAATTTAAGGAATATGGAAATAGCAGTTACATATTAGGTGGAGGCTTTAATCTGGTGCTTGACCCTGATAAAGATACAAACAATTACAAAAATATTAATAACCCTAATGCCAGAGAACAGCTTCTAGAACTGATAGGAGAACTTAACCTAATTGACATTTGGCGAGATAATAACCAAGACTCAAGGCAGTATACATGGAGACGTTCAAATCCTATAAAACAGGCCAGGTTAGATTTGTTCCTTGTTTCTGTATAGTCATGTTACCAATGTCAAGATAAATCCAGGGTATAGAACAGACCATTCATTTATAAATTTTATCATGAATATTGAAAAAAACACCAAAAGGAAAACTTATTGCTACAAGATCACAAGTATGTTGAACAAATAAAACAGGTAATATCTGATGTAAAGAAAGAATATGCTATACCAGTCTATAATCAGGATGCCATTGACCAAGTCCCTAATGATAACCTGCAATTCCAGATTGATGATCACCTTTTTATGGAAACTCTCCTCATGAAAATTAGGGGCAAATCAATAGCCTATTCTTCATATATGAAAAAACAAATGACCAAAAAAGAAAATGACTTAACAGCAGAAATTGAAGTACTAGAAAACAATTATGATGAAAGTACTACTAATGATCTAGAAACT